TTTATGTATAAAAGGTTATTACAGGAATGCTCATGGCGGGTGGTGCAGTGGGAGAGGCAGGATAAAGAGAGAGGGGTGAAAGCCAAGCAGAATTCCTGGGGGTGACACTATAGCTGGATCCTGCCGGAAGCCTCTGGAGTGTAAGCTGTGTCTCAGTTCTCCTGAGGCAGAGGAGCTGGGTTTTCTTACCCCCAGCTGTGTTGGTCACTGGTTAAATGTGACCCCTTTCTCCCTGCCCCTTAAAGTCAAGTCCCAGGCTTTCCAACTCTTTGCTCTCTGTAGAGGCAAAGTGGGTACCAGGAACTTAAACAGTTTTCTGGAAAATAACTGCAGGGACTCCCTTGAAATGACATCACATAGAGGCTAGTGGAGTAGGCCAAGGTGCACACAGAAACCATGAAAAAGGAATCCCAGGTGACCTGAGGGCAGTAGTGACATTGTCAGCTATATCCACGTTCAGTTTCTCCTGGTGCCTTTCATTGCCTGGAACCCCTGGATGCCATGTGGCAAGGAAATACAGTTTCCTGAGAGATGGAGCAGAGCAGAGAATGATGAGAATGGTCTAAGAGACAGGCAATTGACCCTCTGCCCTCCAATGTCATAAATATTTTTCCCTGACATTAAACATTTTCTTTAGTGGTTTTAATGTCTCTATAATATACCAATACACAGATGTACATAGCCACCTAAGGAGTCTTTCTGTTAGAAATGAGCTCTTCCCTATTATAAATACTACTATGGAACAACTCTACAACTAGTGTTTATCTTAATTTTTTCCTTAGGACAGATAGTATTGGTACTTTAATAGGTCTTATGTGAAGATAAGCCCAGGTGCAGCTTTACTCAAATATTATAAGTAAGTGGATGCCACGTGTAAAATTCTTGCTGTGAATGTATATTAGTAGGCAATGTTTTACACGTGGTCTGGATTCCAAAAGCCAGTTGGAATAATTCCATGTTGGAAAATCAGTACGTATTTTTATACTGAAGTGATATTTTAATTGGTATTTAGGTTCCCAATATATCTCATGAGACTTTGTTTGGCTCATGAGATTTATTGGCAATCTAAATACCAATTATAACTTCACTTCAGTGTATATGAAATAGATATAAATATAAACATAGCTGAGCTGCTGAGTTACAATATGATTATTACCGTCCTTTCCTCCTTTATTTTCTTTTGCTCCTCTCTGTTCATGTCTTCATGAAAGGCCATTGCCAAGCTGTGGAAGCAAAACAACCCTACCAGTCATTTAAGCTTAAGTAGAAATTTGGATTATTATGAATCAGAGAGCATTTGCAATTAAATCTGTGTAGTTATGAGGGCCTTTATACCCCAGAAAAAGGATTTTTAGGCACCCTGATAGGATTTTTTTGGAGAAGAGGGTAATTTTTTATTCTAAATTCATCCCATATTAGCCCGGCATATTTTATTTTTGCTGTCAGCCAAGGTCAGTGCTTTGTATTCCCTAGAAACAGTAAAACAGTGGCTTCCATTTTGAAGACATTTATTTGCTAGAAAAATAAAAATGTAGAAGATGCTAGTCAGATGTGGCATGGAAGATTTTGTATTAGTAGGTACATTCTTATTGGTTTGTTAATCTGTAATCTTTTGTGTTTAGATTCTATCTAGGTCTGTGGAAATATGAGTACTTTATAATTATAATAGATATAGTTGGATAATCACTACTTACTTTGCATTGAGTATCTAGCTTCAGATATTTGTAGCCTTGTTTTTTTCAGAAAAGTTGACTCATTAAGATAATTTAAGAAGTTGGATTTTAGAATAGATTTAGATTTAAGGATGATTGCAAAGATAGTACAGAGTTCCCATATACCTTCTTCCAGTTTTGCCTGTTATTAACATCTTATGGTATTTTTGTCAAAACTAATGAAATGACATTGATACCTTACTGTTAACTAAAGCTCACCTAATAGTAATGTTTCACTTTATGATACTTTTCTGTTCAAGGATCTCATCCAGGATAACAAATTACATTTAGTCATCACATCTCATTGGGCTTCTTTTGGCTATGACAGTTTCTCAGACTTGCCCTGGTTTTTGTTTTATTTTTTTGTCTTCAGGACTCTAGAATTTCCTTATTCACATGCAAATCAGAGCACCTCGAATGATTATTTTGTGAACACTAAATGGTATGAATTTCTATCCATTAGACAACATACCGTATCTTACTTTCATTTTTCATATATAGGGTAAGAAAGATTTTTTAATATAGTTTTTTGTGTGTGTATGATAACACTCCTAGCAAATTTGAGTTATACAGTTCAGCATTATCAGCTGTAGTCAGCATGCTAGCCACTAGATCCTCAGACCTCATTCATCTTGTAGCTGAAAGTTTACCCATTTTACCAATCTCCAGATTTTCCTTGTTTTCAAGAAATCTGATTGTTTTGGGGAGTTTGGGCCAAGTGTCTTGTAGATGTCTTTAAATTGGGGTTTGTCTGATGGTTTATTCATTAGACTGGGGTAGTGGGTTTGGAGGGAGGAGGCCCACATGCCATTCTCATATCATTAAGAGACTATGACTTATCACTGGTGATGTAAATCTTGATCACGTGGCTGAGGTAGTGTTTGTCAGGTTCCCCGCTCAAATTTTTCCTTCTTTCTACACTCTCCTCTTTGGAAAGAGGTCACGATGCACAGCCCACATTTTAGAAGTGGGGAGCTATGCTTCATAAATTACTTAACTTTAGTTTTCATTTTAAATGTATATATACTTGTTAAAAAAATTTAGGTTTGGCTCTATAAATATAGGTTCAAAATTATTTTTTCTTTATAGAAAATAATAATTCCCCCTAACCATATTTAAGTTAAATTTTTAATCATAGCACGAAACCTTAGGTCACATTCAAAGGTACATTTTCTTATCTGAAAGACATTTGTTGTTAAACTCTTCCAATCAATTTCTGTATATCATGAAAAGTGATCATTTTTTCCCATGTTAATCTGGATATTCAACAATTTGATAGATTACTTAGTATCATATACAAGTTTTCGATTAGATTGTGAAGAAAATCTTCACACAGAAAAGATTTTTTGTCTGGCAGAATTGTGTGTTGTATGTCTTCATTACTTCTGCTGGGAAGAGATTAACTTTTCACTGTTGATCTATACTGAGGTTTTTTTTTTTTGCAAGGTAAACAAATAGCTTAAGTATTTTATTTGTTTGCAACTAAGCTTATTAACACTATATAATGAAAATGTACAAAGAATAATGTTGTTGTTTTGGTTAGATTTAAGTCAAAGACATTCATTAATAAGGAATCTTCAAATGTGAATATTCCAGAAATTTTTCTAAGCCATATGATCAGGACAACTGTCTCTGAATATTACCTTACTTTGGAAGGTACTGGCATATGTTTGAATTAAACTTTGTTTTTTTTTCCCCCCAAAATAAGCCTTAATTAAAAAAACTAGTCTATGTTCAAACTAAAACAATTTTCATAGAACTTTCCTTTCCAGAAACAATAATAAAGGAAACAAGGCATTTTGTAAAATGTGGTCCTGAACAAGTCACAGTAAAAAATAAATGTAGACTTAACTTCTACCTCCTCAAAACAGAGGCTACTTTCTGTTCCTCAGTCTTGGAAATAAGGTGAAGAACAGTCTGTAAGCAACTTTGGGCAGGGGTTGCCAAAACAAAGCTTAAGCAGTTGAACACGGACATCTCTTACAAGAATTTGGGGGAACCTGACCAAAGGATCCAAATTCTATTTTTAATAACTGATACAAAGGTGAAGTGGCTCCTCCCAAGCAGCAGTGCCTCTGGGGCCTGTCCTAGCCTGCGCCCACCGTTGTTATGCTCCCAATCAAACCCTGATGCTCTTGTTCCAGAGGAGACTTTTTCCTTCTGAGAGGTTCAGTGTCCAGGGAGCTCCCGTGTGAATGAGGTGAGCACAGACTCCACGGGGGTTTTTAAGGCTAGGAGTCAAAGTAACGTTCTAACACAGCGAGGCAGAATCAGATGTCAAACGGCCTGTCTCCAGTTTGTTCTAATTCCTCACCACACATTTGTAGACCTAGGACCACAGACCTTTGCTATGTCATCATAATCACATCTAATGTCCATCCTAACTTATGATTCATATTTTGTGCCTGGAAACAGTCCCTGTATTTAACAATAATACCTACACATAAAACAATCCACTGTTACAACTTATATGGTCACAAAACATTAATGATCTTCTGTAGACCGAGCAAATGTTTTTAACCATAATTGTCGTGCATCAAATTCACAGCCAGAATTCCCAAGATCAAAGAAATTTGCACAATACAAATAATAACTTAAAATACACATACACACATATACACACACTCACACACACTTCTTACAGAACTGTGCTTGGGGAAACTCTATTTGTTGAGTGCCACTGAGGGCATATTTTTGCTAAACTGCTGCTCCAGGTGTTTTTGTTTGAAAAATCTATCACAGTAGGGCACAGCTGTTTAATCGATGAGCAGAAAAGAAAGATACGCTTGTGGCAACCAGAAAGTTTTAAGGTCTTTCAAGTTGTATAAAATGGACCTGCAGAAACATTTAAGTGTTCTCAGGATGCAAAGTTGGAGCTGAAATGTGATATCAAACCAGTTGCAAAAAGTGTACAGCAGCCATCTCTTGAGGGCAAACCTGGTACCCAGATATGCAAGAAAGTTTCAGGACACATAGCTTGTTGGCCTTGTCCCATATCGTCGCATAATCTGATCATGTGTGAATTTCACAAAAGATTCATATTGTTCTGCTAGTTTAGTATTGAGGATTTACTCATATTCCTCCCGAATTTTATCTTCATAGTCTTTTAAGAGACGCTCACATATTATTCCAACTTGTCGGAGGGTAAAGGTGGGCTGGTCCTTTTTCATCCAGGAGGAACCTGGAGAACTAGGTGCTGCGAGTGTTGAGGAGTGAGGCTGACTTTCCGAAGTACAAGCTTCACTCTGATTAAGAACAACTTCTAAATGTCTCCACCTCTGATAGCGACTATATTCTTGTTTTATATTCTGAAAAATTTGCTCCGGAGTTGGAAGGCGCGGGCGGGGCGGGCTGCTGCAGAGTCGGCCGTGGGGTCTGCGTCTGAAGCAGCGGCGGCGGTTCGGCGTCCGGGGGCCTGAGGCCCGGAGTGGGGCCAGAGAGAGGGGCGCAGCGCCGCCGCTTCGGAGAGCCAGGGCTCAGCAGCGCCGCCTCGAACTGCATGGGCCGCTGCAATGTCGCCCCGCAGGCCATGCCGCTGAAAGCAGGGACCAGGAGCCGAGGCCGTTGTAACTGAGACCCAACCTCCCGCTCCTCAGCGGAGCTCGCAAGCCAAGCCCTATACTGAGTTTTGTACAGAACAGAACTCTCAGGTAGAAAAGTGATTTTACTCTTCAACTTGCAGTGCTTTCGATATCCATCATAATTCCTGTCATATCCTGTGGATGTTACTTTGACCACTGCAGTCAGAAATCCTGATATAATCAGCTCAGTCTTCAGGGAGTTCTTTGACTCAAACCTATTAAGAGCTCTAAATGAGCCCAGCTAGCTACTCTTGCTGGGTTGCGCTCACAGGTGAGTTTCCATCAGTAATTCGATCTTTTAATTTTGGCTTCTGTGCAAGCACTACCTTTCATATAGAACACTGCCGCCTTTGGAGCTTATTTGTGAAATAAAGGGAAACAGAAACTGCAAACCGTACTGTGGCTGTAAAGCAATTGAATTTTGAGCTTTTTTGAATTTGCTGGAAATGTCATTTCATTTTGCACCTATATGTTTAAAGAGAAGACTATCAATTCATTTTCTGTTAAACTTTATAGTTTTTAATTGAAAGATAATTGATTTATACTATTGTGTTGGTGTCTGCCATACATCAGCATGAATCAGCCATAGGTATACACATGTCCCCTTGCTCTTCAGCCTCCCCTACACCCCCATCCTATCCCTTCCATCCAAGTTGTCACAGAGCACCAGTTTGAGCTCCTTGAATCATATAGCAAATTCCCACTCGCTATCTATTTTACATATGGTAGTGTATATGTTTCCATGCTACTCTCTCCATTTGTCCACCTTCTCCCCACCCCACCATGTCCGTAAGTCTATTCTGTGTGTCTATGCTGCTGCTGCTAAGTCACTTCAGTCGTGTCCGACTCTTAGTGACCCCATGGGCTGCAGCCCACCAGGCTCCTCTGTCCATGGGATTTTCCAGGCAAGAGTACTGGAGTGGGATGCCATTGCCTTCTTCAGTATGTCTATATCTCCATTGCTACCCTGCAAACAAGTTTATCAGTTCCATCTTTCTAGATTCCCTATATATGTGTTAATATGATATTTGAAAGAGAAATTAAGGAATCAATTCCATTTACCATAGCAACAAAATGAATAAAATACCTAGTAATAAACCTACCTAAGGAGACAGAAGAGCTGTATACAGAAAACTAAAAGACTCTGATGAAAGAAGTCGAAGACAACATTAACACATGGAGAGATGCACCATGTTCCTGCTTTGGAAGAATCAGTATTGTGAAACTGACTATACTACCAAATGCAATCTGCAGATTCAGTGCAATCCCTATAAAATTACCATTGCCTTTTTTCATAGAACTAGAACAAAAAATTTCACAATTTGTATGGGAACACAAAATACCCCAAATAGCCAAAGCAAGTTTGAGAAAGAATGGAGCTGGGGGAATCAACCTTCCTGACTTCAGACTATACTACAAAACTATAGTCATCAGGGCAGTGTGGTACTGGCACAAAAACAAATATAAACCAATGGGATGAGATAGGAATCCCAGAGATAAATCCACACACCTTTGGGAAGCTTATCTCTGACAAAGGAGGCAAGAATATACAGTGAAGCAAAGATGGTCTCTTCAGTAAGTGGTGCTGGGAAAACTGGACAGCTATGTGTGAAAGAATGAACTTAGAACACTCGCTAACACTATACAAAAAGATAAACTCAAAATGGATTTAAAACATAAATGTAAGATCAGAAAATAAATATAAAAATTTTAGCATAGGCAAGGCACTCTGTGACTTAAATCACAGCAAGATCCTGTATGACCCACCTCCTGCTGCTGCTAAGTCGCTTCAGTCATGTCCGATGCTGTGCAACCCCATAGACGGCAGCCCACCAGGCTTCCCCCTCCCTGGGATTCTCCAGGCAAGAACACTGGAGTGGGTTGCCATTTCCTTCTCCAATGCATGAAAGTGAAAAGTGAAAGTGAAGTCGCCCAGTCGTGTCCGCCTCCCAGAGACCCCATGGACCGCAGCCTACCAGGCTCCTCTGTCCACGGGATCCTCCTCCTAAAGTAATGCAAAGAAAAATAAATAAATGGGGCCTAATTAAACTGAAAAGCTTTTGCACAGCGAAGGAAACTATAAACAAGGTGAAAAGACCACCCTCAGAATGGGATAAAATAATAGCAAATGAAACAACTGACAAAAGATTAATTTCCAAAATACACAGAAACTCATGCAACTCAATACCAGAAAAACAACCCAATCAAAAGGTGGGCAAAAAACCTAAACTTTATAATTTTTTAAGTTTGCCTTACACACATGCCATGTTCCACATGGGGAGGTTTTGGTATATTGGATTTATTTTTTTGTAGTATATTGTGCTTATCTTGTTTTTGGATATATTGTCTCTTTATTAATATATCTATAAAATGTATTTACAGTGGTGATACACAGAATTGAAAAAACTGTGGGGAGGGGGTGTTATTAGAATGTTATAGAATGTTACAGAATGTGTTACAGAATGAGAGTAAGGTGGGGACATAACTGTAACTCTTTTTAAGAGTTTAGAGGTTTGGTTTTGATTCTGGTGTTGGATAGATACTATATGCTTTTTATTTAGGCCTAACTCTAATACAAGGCCAATTATACTCTATTTTTTGTCCCATGGGAGATACATAGTTGGTTTTTAGGAGGTATTGGAAAAAATATGAGTGGATCAGTGAAAATTTTGTCAAACTAAAATTACTGTATGAGTAAATAGTTCTGTTTTAAAAGACTTGGTGTAGAGTACAGAGGTCATTATTTTAAAGACCATTGTTGCAATTGTTCTGAGAATTACACTTTAACACTTTTGCAACGTATTACATGATACTTATAAATCTGGGGCCAAGATTTTCCTTTTTTGAGTCACGCCAAAATTACATTTTGAGGAGGATCTCTAATTCACAACCAATGGAAGCACAGTATTTTGTAGCCTTCCCAATTGTTGCAAGAAGCTCTTAGCCTCCACCTCTCCTCACAGCTCTGCCAGTTGTTCAAGCATTTGGTGTCAAAAATTATGAAGTATCTGAGATTTTATGCTATTTTGTTAGCCTGCCATAGTTTCATAGGTGTTGGCTGAAGACACGAGACTTTTCTATTAAAGACAAAGAACTTGATGACTCTCAGCACAGCAAGCACCACGAGCTTCCTGTTTGTATGGGTTCCTTGGCTCATTAAGTTCCTTAGAGACAGCGAAGGACAATGAAGGCAGATGCTATGCACACAGTAGACTTGTTAGAGACACTCTGAACTTCGGAAGCCCTCAATTGTATGAAAGAGCTGCTCACAAGTTGTCAAACCTGCGCTCTGGAGGAAGTCATTATGTTTATTATCCTGGCCGGGAAACAAATTTGCCCTTTGCCTTAGAGGGAGAAAAACCTCTGTCTTCCAAGGTTGTTTGCTATGTAGACATCCTTAAAAAGACTGTCCATAACAAAGCTGTCAATGCCTTTTTCTTGGAAGACAGGCTGAAACACAAGAGACCAATAGAATATGTCTGCCAATACATCATTCTGCATGTCATATACGATTATCTATCTAATCATCTACTTATCTCAGATAGCTACACTCAAATATTCATTCTATTTATTCATATAGTTATCCCATTTTTTTTAATTCAAGTATTTTGATGCTTATGATGTCCCAGGCACTGTGCCTGGTGCTATGCTAGATGAGAAATATAGCAATGAGTAGAGAGGGGAAGTTCTTTACCTTATGGAGCTTACAGTCAATGGGGTAGAGAGATTTTCAACAACTTAATTACCCAAATAACTAATTATAATGTGACAAGTGCAAGTAAAGTACTATGAAAGGGAATAATTGGAGACTTCAAAGTTCTGATGGAGTGAAGTATAAAGCCCTGAAACTTCTGAAAACCTGTGTACCCGTGGTAAAGAGAGTGAGGAGAACAGCCATGGAAAAGGCTGGGGAGAGTCAGGGTCCATACAGTGCAAGACCTGGTCTGCCAAGTTAAGCAGGGGTTGGAATTTTATGCTGAGGGCACCAGGGGAATCCTGACAGGTTTTAAGCAGGAGAGTGATGCCATTGGAGTTGTCATTGGAAAGGTCACAGGGTCCCTGTAGGGACCATGACTAGAAGGGCATAAGATTAGGTGCAGAAAATTCAGCAGTAGATGAGATATTGGCACATTGGTGTAGAAATTCACCAATGGATGTAGATGGAGGGAATTAGTTGATTCTCAGATATTTAGGAGGCAAATGACTAAAACTTGTTCACTGATATGGTGGGAGACATCAAGGAACGCTCTTAGATCTTGTTTAAACATGGAATGGATGAGCAGAAGGCCCATGCTGAGAGAGAATGGAGTGAAGAGGGTGCAGGCTCAGAATTGACAGATCAACACTCAACATTCATCATGATTATATTTGAGAAAAATGTTATTTATTGGTCCTTGTCTTAGGGATATATAGTCCATCTGTTCCTCTTTGTTCTCCAGATTCTATCCCTGTATTGAACTATGTGTCTGAAACATCTTGGTCCTCCAGAGAATGCCTTTTGTTGAACTCCTCTTTGGAGTTGTGCCTCATTTTACATGGGGAGATATATCAGAATCATGTGACCCTGTAGCCTTTCTGTGATGCTCAGGGTTTCCCCTATGAGAATATATGGGAGAAACTGTTCTCTGATCTTGGTACAGGCTTAATAATTTTCTAAGCAACTGGGTCTTAATTTATAGACACCAAACTATGAAACAGATTGAGACTCTTTCTTTGTATTATTGACTCTTAGAAAGCTTGGAACCCATTTTGTTGCCTGCTTCTAACAAAACGTAAGGCTTTTTGGTGTATTGACCTCACTTTTACCTCCTCGTGTGTGAGTACTCAGGCACGTCCAGCTTAGACTCCACAGGACCCTGTCCATGGGATTCTCCAGGCAAGAATACTGGAGTGGGTTGCCATTTCCTTCTCTAGGGGATCTTCCCGACCCAGGAATCAAACCCATGTCTCCCACATCTCCTGCATCACAGGTGAATTCTTAACCGCTGAGCCCCTGGCAAAGTCCCTCTTACCTCCTCATTCCTCTTTAAGCTTTTTTAATATTTATTTTCTCTTGTTGAACTGTATTCTTCTTTTTTTTTTTTGACTCAGCTGCCTTAAATATTTTCTGAAACAAGTTGGAGTGTGAATAAATAAGTACAATGTTAAGATAAAGCCACTAGTGACTTTGGATGAATTAATCTGCTAGGCTTTTGTACTTCATCTGTAAAATGAGAGGTTTCAACCAGATCAACTCTTAATATTCAGTTCCCACAGTTTCTCTTCCTACAAAAAACTGAGTGTTTTCAAGTTTGAGTCATCATAGATAATAGATACTTCAAGTACCTTAAGACTGACTTGACAGGCCATCGTCTCTTGGCTCATGGAATTGTTGATTATGCAGAACATCCTTATTCTTGAGAACAACCTGAGAGCTGCTGTTGTCAGATACGTTCTTTCTCAACATTCACTACAATACTCTATGCAGGACTGTACTATAGTGAAGCCAGAAAACATCTCTTGCTCCCCTTTCTCGGTCTTACTGAAGTTTTGCTCATTTGCGGCAACTTCAAAGGAGTCTCCTTTTTTGCTTAGTTAACGCACATACATCTGCTGGTCTGGACTTGTCCCAAGAGCTAATCTTGAAGTGGGTCTGAACTGTGTCACTGCTAGGCTCCTCAGAGAAGAAGCTGTTCCTCTGAGGGATGATCCAGGGTGCATGGTTGCATGGGAATAAAGCCAGAGGATCCTGCCCCCAGGTAATAGCAGGGGTTAACCTGAATTGGCCTGCCTGAAAACAGGCAAGGCACTCCATCGCCAGTTCTCATAGGCCCTACAGGATCCTTACTGTGGCTGGTTTGCTGGGTGGCATCACCACCTTCCATTACTCAAAGGCCAGGATTCCCTTTCTTGGTCTGTCGTCAGATTGGATGGCAATCCATTTGATGCATGAGTAGTACCATTACACCAATTTATAAACTATCTTTGTTCATATTTTCTGCTTATGTGGTTTCATTATATTACATTGTACATGCAAATAGATAAATGTTTTAGGTGCTTTCTTTAATCAGACACGTTGTTTACCTTAGAGCATAGAGCATGGCCCATCTATCAGTTTATAGAAACAAATGAGCCAGCCCTGCTGAGCATCTGATCGGTGTCTATGTGGCAAGATAGGTGAACAGGTACAAGGCAGGAGTGTAAAACGTTCATCAAGCTGTACATAAAGAGGGCTGAGATGTTATTCATGTCTTGGGGCAGAGGATAAGGCAGAAATGTTTCAGGATTGTCTGGGAATTAGCTCATGGAAGAAGACAAGAAAATAACCCTGGGTCCCTTTTAGACTCTATTGTTTTGTCTGCTGCAGCAAGAATCCACTGCAGTAGAACGATGTGACAGATCATGGGAATTTTTTCTGGGACAAAAGTTTGCCTGTATTTGTGAGTCTCTGCTAAATTAACTCAGTGCTTCAGTGAAGGGTGGAAGGAGGACAAACCTGGAGGAGGATGAAACCCTTTGCAGAGCTGACCACACAGGATAGCAAACACATTGGCTTTGAGAGGCTGACTTTGATTGCTCTGGGTCAAAACCTGTGAAAATTATAGGTCTATATCATCTCACAAATATGTTACAAAGATCAAAACAGAGAAAAAGAATAAATTCCCAAGTAGTGAAGGGGGTAAACCCATCAGTTGATTTCATGTAAAGTCAGCAAGGATACAGAAGGTCTAAGGACAGTCCTATTGGCTAGTCAAAAGCCCCAGATACAAAGTACCTGTTCCTGGGTTGGTATTGATTTAGTTAGGTGTCTACCAAGGTCTGGGCTTCCCTGGTGGGAAGACAGCCCTGGTGGCTCAGATAGTAAAGAGTCTGTCTGCAATGCAGGAGATCTGGGTTTGATCCCTAGGTCAGGAAGATCCCTTGGAGAAGGGAATGGCTACCCACTCCAGTATTCTTGCCTGGAGAATCTGATGGAATGAGGAGCCTGGCAGGCTACAGTCCATGGGGTCACAAAGAGTCAGACATGACTGAGCAACTAGCTTTCACTTACCACCAAGGTCTAGGCATCATAATAGAAACCTTGATATTTAATACTTAAAATTCTCATTCTGAAAAGTCCCAGGACAAGGAAAAGTCAGAGTCTACTTGAGATGCTGGACTTGCTTTTCCCTAGGAGCCAAGTGACTCCCTGAAAGTGAGTGGAATGCTCAGATGTTCTAAGGGAGTGATACTCAGGGAAGTGAATTAGTTGGTGCAAGAGTGCACACATGTTAACCAGAGCATACAGGGGGTCAAGGAATCTTTAAGAATGTGAGAGTCTCACAATTGTGAGACTTTACTACAGAATAACAATAGCTGCCATCGTGGAGCACTTTCTGGGTGCCAGGCACATAGACGCTAATGTATTATTTGGTGTTTACTTTATGCATATCCTTAAAGATGAGGAAATCAAGGCTCTGAGATACTAAATAATTTTCCATAGACTTAAAAGTGTTTAGGAAATGAATGTGAGCTAATCTCTGTTACAGTGTCGAATATAGAAGACAGCAGGAAGCTAATGTTTATTGATCACTTATTTTGGGGGGGATCAAAAAGATTACTGGGAAGTAAAATTAATTATTTCCATTCAAGTGAAGAGGAAGTTGAGACTTAAAGAAGGGAATGACTTCCTGTGTGCTGCTTAGCTAATTAAATGGTTGAGCTGGGATTCACACCAAGCCTTCCTTACTCCAAAGTCCATAGACTCTGTCTGCCGCAATGAATTCAGGTGGAATTTGAGGACAGTTGGGTTTTGTCTTGACCATCTTCTCCTTGATCCCTTTTCTTCCACCCTGGGACTGTGTGCAAATCCAGAGCCTAATTTGAACCTAATTCTCATTCTCTGCTGTCAGGTTGTTACATAGTCTGTCAAGTATAAAATGATAATATGATGAAAAACAATTGTTAATGTGATGACTGGTATGCATGAAATTTAGAAGGGTATTTCTGATTTTGATAAGGAGAGGCTGGCTGCTTTGGGTATTGGAGAAAGGTCAGAAAAGACTCAATAATGGATTCTCCAAGTTTCTGGACAGAGTCCTGAATTCTAATGGGCAGGCCCTTGGGGGACAGTGGGTGACTTTGAGTCTAACAAAGAAAAATATGCATTTGTCTCTCACTCTTGAAAGCTGGCTACAATAAGCTATTTTACGCTTTGTGATATTTCAGAGTTTCTCAATCTTAATGTTTTGACATTGGGGCTGGATCATGCTTTGTTGTGGGAGGCTGTCCTCAGCATTCAGGGGGAGAATCCTTGGCCTCCACCCACTAGAAGCCAGTGAGACCACCTCAGTTATGATCGTGAAAACATCTCTTTGGGGGCAGAATTTTTCCTGATTGAGAACCACTGATTTGAAGCAACTGAGTTTTTCTAATGACCACTTTTACAAGTTTGTTTTATGTATACAATTGTTATGCAGGTTGTTCTGTATGAAATGAGAAGAACTAAGCTAGAGAAGTCTCCTTGTACCCCTATGGTTAGCATGGGTCTTCTCTCCTGCTTGGTAGAAACAGTTACAAGGAAATTTCTTTTTGAAAGAGATAAGCCAAGAAACTGAAAATACAGACAGGTAGAAAAATAATCCTTTAATGAAAATCCAAAATCTAAGCAAGAATCTATAAATGATGCCTTCTGGGGTTATTTTTAAGTTTCTCTGAATCATATGCATAAAATTGGTAGAGAATATTATTGGCTGAATTTTCATTTAGCAGTTGTGTTAAAGTCCCAATATAAATTACGCTTTATTTTGCGCCTGCTTTAGTATTCAGAATTTTATTTCAAGGCCCCAGAAGAGCTACAATTGTTACCTACCGCAGTTGGGGGCAGCCTGCCACATGGTAGCCTCCTTTAATTAACTGTCAGCTTCTGTATTCTTTCAGCCTCCATTGCTGGGTAGTGTGGGGTTTTTCAAAACTGTCCTTGGTCATGTCCCCTAGACATTAAAGCCGAGAGAAGCACAGAGAGAGGACCAATACAGATCAGTAAGTGGTCACATCCAGCAGCACTCCTCAGAATTATGACAGCAGTTTTAAATACTGGGAATTCTCTTGTGTACAAGTTCTGCTTTCAGACAGCTCAAGTTTTAAAAAGTTGACTCTTTTGCCCCTATTATAGAAAAACTATATGCTCATTGTGGGAGAGGTAGGAATAGTGTTGCAAAAAAAATAATAGTTGTCCATAATTACATCATTAGGAGACACTTGCAATTAAATTTTTAGACCCTTTTCTTTTAGAATTTTTTTACTATGCATTTTACATTGATGATATCACACTATAAAACATAATTTAGGAGTCTGCTTGTTAAAACTTTAAAGCTTAGCTTTATATCATGGGCTTGTTTCCCTGACATTTACAATCATTAAAACTTAGTTTTTAGAAAGCAGTGTTGAATTAATCATCACAGAAATTCTTCAGCTGTAGGTTAAGAAATTGAGCATGATTCCTTTTTACAGAAAGAGTTAAAATACAGAAATGATTTTTATCCTATTTTGTACCCATGCTGATTACTGATGCTAAGGATGGAATTTGAATCTAATCTAAATCTGGTTAGATTTGCGTTTGAGCAGAGTTATTCCGGCAGTGATGCAGAGTGGTGCCAGGCTGGACCGGGACAGCAGTTGGGAAACTGGTACAAAAAACACAGATGGGAATAGTCAAAGATCTGAAAAGCTGATTGAGTGGGTGAAGAAAGGGAGATGAAGGATGAAGCAATATCCAGGGACTACAAGTTCCATTCACTTTTGGTTAGTGGTCTCTATGGCAAGTGAGGAAGAGGGAGGAATCCAGGCCATCCTCAGGTGTTTAGTGTAAGTACTATTCGTAGAGAACGTAGAAGGGGGAACACTCAGGGAGGAAGGTGATCAATTCCATCTTGGATGCAGTGAAATGGAGATTCCCGCAGGACAAGCAGGTGGAGATAGCAGATAGAGGGACTGTCTGTGCATGGGTGATAGACTGGGGAGATCATCATTTAGGACGTAACTGAAATGGATGGGCTCGCCTACAGAGAGCATGCAGGGTAGGAGAAGTGAGCCTTAGATGGAGCCCTTCTCTGACTCTCGTAAACTTCCGTTTTGAAATTTGTCTTTTGGTTAATCTGTGATATTACTTGGTCTTATTTCTTCATTGAGATGGCTTTTTGCCACCAACCAGAGTTGTGTTTCCTGATCTCACTGGACCTTGCTGAAGCATTGGGCGTTGATAGTCATTTTCTCTTTCTGAATTTCCATTCTCTTTCCACATATTGCTGTTCTCTCTCTCTCTGCATTTGTGAGAGTTCCTTTGTTATTCCATCCTGCAGAAGCAGGTTAGCAGGTTCTCAGCTTCTTCAGCTCTCTCCTCTCTTGACACTTGTCTGACCTGTAAGCATCTCTCTGTGTTGTCTTAATCTGGTTTCTCCTTTTCCCCAAATTCCAGCTGAACTGAGAAAACAAGTTGGCATCCCAAGGACTGTATTGTTGTTCACTGTTCACTCGCTTAGTCGTATCTGACTCTTTGTGACCCCATGGACTGCAGCACACCAGACTTCCCTGTCCATCACCAACTCCTGGAGTTTACTCAGACTCACGTCCATTGAGTCGGTGATGCCATCCAACCATCTCATCCTCTGTTGTCCCCATCTCCTCCTGCACTCGATCTTTCCCAATATCAAGGTCTTTTCCAATGAGTTGGCTCTTCCCATCAGGTGGCCAAAGTACTGGAGCTTCAGCATCAGTCCTATGTTTAAGTATTTGCTTAACATCTATTTCATGGTGGGGGGAGTGAAACTGCTTTTCTGTTAATACAAGTGTAGTATGCCTTTATATATTTATAATTAATTATTTAGCCTCTTTATTTTTCTTTTCAAATTCCCTTAAAAATGTACTTGTTTAAGTGCATTAATGAGCAGTGTAGAATTTAATAAAAATTCCATGAGAAAGATGAGGGAGAATGTTCACATCTTGATGTACATAACATTTCCAGAAATTTCCATGGGGTATCTCATTTCTTATCATTCATTCTCTTCTCTACCTCACAGCTTTATATATTCTTCTTTCTCTTTCTCCTCACCTTTGGAAATTAGTAATTCTGATGTACTTTTTCTAAATCCTCCCCTGTCCATTGTGTCTTTTTATTCAGACCATTTTTTTCCCCTAGCGTCTATCTCCCAGCTTTTATGCCACCATGCAAAACTTAATACTGTCTTCAGGTGTAATGCCTTGATAGCCATTGAAAGACAGATGAAGATTTTAATTGTTCTCTGGAGGAAAAAAGGGTCCTCCTGCTACCCAATCCCATCCCCCTATGAAGGTTCCAGGAGATTGCATATAGCAAATAGTGTCCTGTGCTTGGTCACTTAGTCATGTCCAACTCTTTATGACCCCATGGACTGTAGCCTGCTAGGCTCCTCTGTCCTTGGGATTCTCCAGGCAAGAATACTGGAGTGAGTTGTCACTCCCTCCTCCAGATAACAAATACTATTGAACTATTAATATTACAATTAAAAATGCATGCATATTTGAATGCACATGTGAGTTAGAGCCATTTAGACTTTGCCAACTGACTATGGAATTAAGTCCCAAGTTTTCCCAGACATATTTCAGCCTTCAGAGTTCTTTGTCTAGTGCAGCTGAGCAGATGGTCTGCTGTGTAGTCTGATCCTATTTTGCCTTTACTTCTTTTAATGAAGAGAGAAGGTGTAGCTGCTGCAGGGGTGGGGGGCATGGGACTGAGGGGCATTGAAAGGGGTGGAGACACTTGGTGTACCTCATTTCCATGCAGCTGGTCATGTGATCACTTCATTGAACATTGTTGCCTTAACAACCACACTGTGAGTTAAGTAGTAGTAGCCCCATTTTATGGGCGAGGAAAGCGAGGATCAGAATGGTTAACTCTGTGTGGAGCAGAGGTGGCTGTGGCTTGCCAGGGCACGCTCCTGCCAGCATGCCACGCAGTGTCCGCCACAGAACACCACCAAACACTGGCTTAGCAGAGGGCCATTTGCTGTTTTTCAGTCTCAAAAAGAAAATTGGCTCAGTCCTGTCCTTTTGAGTTGCTTATTTTTTAGACTCTCTTCCCTGGGTATGCCAGGGGAAGCACACTGATTGAAACTGCCCACCCTGGCCAGGCACCATAGTAACCATTTGCATGAGTTGTTTTACAACAGGAGGTCCTGGTAAGAAACATGGAACTAATAAGCCTCCACCAATCAGAAGGGTTCGGGAAAGGTCAAAAGGAGACACCACCTGTCCAACTACCTCCCAGAATCCTTCTCTCTGGCATCCATCTTGGCTGAACAAGGCGTGCACCACCAGGAAGGACTCTGAGTCAGAATGATTGGCTAAAGACAACCCGGAAACTGATCCCATCACCATAAAACCGGAGACTGCCAGCCATGTGACAGAGCAGTTCTCCTGGGTTCCCTTACCTGCTGCTCTCTGCCCGGGTGCCCTTTCCCAATAAAATCTCTTGCTTTGCCAGCACATGTGTATCCTTGGACAATTTTTCCCATGTCAAGAGACTAAAGGTCTGCCTGAAATACATGCAGCCAAATAGGGGTGAGGGTTCTAGATGTGTTTGTATAGACTACAGGCAGCCGAATAGGGGCGAGGGTTCTAGGTGTGTTTGTACAGACTGGTAGTCCACTTTAGTTGAGTACACAGTAGCTTCCCAAAACTGCCATTTGGGAAACTTGGCAAATTGTGCTTATGCCATTTCGGACGAGCCTGTCTTATCCATAACCGATCTCATCCCTAATATGTCAGTAGCTGACATATTTTTACCAGCAAGGCGGTAGGCACTGGAGTGGCGACTGTGCAGACTGGAGTGACTTTGAGGAGACACCCCACGTCCAAGGGCAAAGCAGAAATCCTAGCAAGATGGTATGAAGGGCGAAATTGCATTTAGAATCAAACCCCATACCCACCAGAGATGCTCAGAGGGCTCAAAAAACCTTGTGCACATGAGGACCCAGAGACCTCACAGAGACTGAGACAGAACTGTGTTTAAGTGTCGCCTGTGGAGGTAGGAGCCAGCAGTGGACTGCTGCAGGGGCGGGGGCTCTGGGTGCAGCAGACCTGGGTATGGCATAAGCCCTCCTGGAGGAGGTCACCATTAACCCCACCATAGAACCGCCAGAACTTACACAGGACTGGGAAACAGACTCTTGGAGGGCACAAACACAGCCTTGTGTGCACCAGGACCCAGGAGAAAGGAGCAGTGACTCCACAAGAGACTGACCCAGACTTGCCTGTGAGTGTACAGAAGTCTCTGGTGGAGGCATGGGTAGGAGGTGGCCTGCTGCAGGATTGGGGGCACTGAATGTAGCATTGCATGCCTGGGACCTTTGGAAGGAGGTTGCCATTATCTTCATTACCTCCACTGTAGTTTGGCCCACAGAGTGGGGAACACAGCCCCACCCATCAACAGAAAACTGGGTTAAAGATTTACTGAGCATGGCTCCGCCTATCAGAACAAGACCTAGTTTCCCCCCTCTTGAGAGTCGCTTGGACTGCAAGGAGATCCAACCAGTCCATCCTAAAGGAAATCAGTCCTGAATATTCATTGAAAGGATTGATGCTGAAGCTGAAACTCCAATGCTTTGGCCATCTGATGTGAAGAACTGACTCATTGGAAAAGACCCTGATGCTGGGAAATATTGAAGGTGGGAGGAGAAGGGGACGACAGAGAATGAGATGGTTGGAAGGCATCACCAACTCAATGGACGTGAGTTTGAGTAAGCTCCAGGAGTTGGTGATGGACACAGATGCCTGGCGTGCTGCAGTCCATGGGGTTGCAAAGTCGGACACGACTGAGTAACTGAACTGAACATATTTTTAATTAGGCCTGAGGTTCTTC